ATTAGAGCCTCTGCGCAGGACAGAACAAATGAATCCAGAGAGAAGACATCCTAGACCATGCATGGTGGTGCGTGCCTGTAATCCCAGCTACTCAGGAGGCTGAGGCCACAGAATTGCTTGAACCTGGGAGGTGGAAGCTGCAGTCAGCTGAGATTGTGCCACTGCACTCCAGCCTGGGTGACAGAGCAAGACTCCATCGGGGGGAGGGGGCAGAGAAAAAACAAAACAAAACCAGCATCGCAAAGATGAGAAGTAAGTTTGGGGAAACAGCTGATAAGGCCTTGTTTTACAAAAGGCACAGGCTACTAACACTAGTAACTAGCAAAAAAACTAAACAAAAGAGAAACTAGTAACTGAACCAAAATTGGGCAAAGAGCCGGAATAGATTTTTCGGCAAAGAAGACATAAGACTGACTCTTATCTTTATAGAAACGTGGTTAACATTACTACTTCTGCAAAAAGTGGAAATCAAAACCATAAAAAGCATCTCTTATTTGAAATGAATATGAGAAATAAAAATACAAACACAAAAGCTGGTGTGAATTTCCAGGAAAAAAGAAGTGTTCATGGGAGGGTCAATTACTACATACACTATGGAAAGCAGTTGCAGATTCCTCAAATAACTCAAAGTCCAATACTATACGATCTATTCATCCCACTACTAGCTATAGAGTCAAAGCAAATTGGTATTTTGAAGAGACATCTGCCTTTCCATGTCTATTCCATCACTATTCACAATAGCTAGGATGATGGAAGCCACCTACCTGTTCACCCACAGATGAAAGGATAAAGAAAATGTAGTACATATATACAATGATATACTCTTCAGCCATAAAAAAAAAAAATACAATTTTCATTTAGGGCAACACCAACAAACCTAGAAAACATTCTGTTAAAATAAGCCAAGCACAGAAAGACAAACACTGCATGACCTCACTCACATTGAATCCAAAAACTTAACCTTCAAGAAGCAGAAGGAACAGGAGTGGTCTCCTGAGGCTGGGGAAGGAGGGGAGATAGGAGGGATTGCGGATGGAAACAAAGTTAGTTAGCTGGGAGGAACACATTCTAGTGTCCTGTTCCACAGCTGGGTGACTCTGGTTACAATATTGAATTTTTCAAAAAAGCTAGAAGGGAACAATTTTGAGTGTTCTCACCACAGAGAAATTAACACCTGTAGGAGGGAATAGTTATGCTAAGTACCCTGATTTGATCATCACCAAAAATACACATGTATCCAAATATCCCAGATGAGGCTGGGCGAGGTGACTCATGTGTCAACATGAATCGCAGCACCCTGGGAAGCTGAGGTGGGCGGACTGCTTGAGGCCAGAAGTTCAAGATTAGCCTGGCCAACATGGCAAAACCCCGTCTCCACTAAAAAATACAAAAATCAGCTGGGCATGGTGGCACACACTTGTAATTCTAGCTACTAGGATGGCTGAGGCACAAAAATCACTCGAACCCGGAAGCTAAAGGTTGCAGTAAGCCAAGATCATGCTGCTGCACTCCAGCCTGGGCAACAGAGCAGGACTGTCTCAAAACAGACAGAAACAAAAACAAGAGTCTCAGATGAGGAAAAAAAAAGTCCCAGTATACCCTCTGTTTATGTGCTTTATTATAGACAAAACATTTAAGAAGTATAGGCCAGGCGCAGTGGCTCGCGCCATAATCCTAGTACTTTGGGGGTCCAAGGTGGGCAGATCAGGAGGTCAGGAGATCGAGACCATC